TTTTTTTTTTTTTTTTTTTTTTTTTTCCGTGATATGACTAATATTGACTCCATTTAATTTGGTAAACCATGTGAATCTTTAAAAATTAATTTTATGCTTAATTAAAAAGGATTAAGTATACGAGAGTGAGGCATACACATAATCTAAAAAATGAGACTAATAACATAGGTAAGAGAGCTAGAGCTCATAATCTAGATGGTCAACTTGTGTAAGTCGCCTAAATTCTAAAAAGTTAACCTTACATGGGTCGACCATGACCAATGAGATTGCCTTGGTTGACCCCACATGAGGTTAGACTCTTTTTGTTGAACGCCCAATCAAAATTGTTTCCTTTATTCATTCAATGTACAATATTTGAGAATTTTGTTGGATTATTGGACTACATTAACGAGATTAAAATTTCATTACGTAATTCTTACTTGACTCCCAAAGCGTGTGTAGACTCGTTTTACTTATGTGTACACAAATTTAATTATAAAAAATAAATAAATAAGAATAATAATAAATTAGTAAATGGGATAAAACTAGTAAGCAATATATTATTATTTAAAAGGAAATGGTCGTTTCAAACAAGTTTAAATTATTTAATTTTTATTAGTTATAAAATATAAAAGTCAAGGTATTTTTGATCCTATCCATATATTTTCCAGAATGGATGCTTTTGATTTAATTTGATTTAAATTTTTTAAAGAAGCTTGCCTTTGATATGTGCATTAGGTATTCCGGCAAGAGGCGAGAAGGCCACCGCCACACCAACTCGCCCATATAAAATTCCAAAACTAAACCATTTCATACTAATTACAACAACATCACTATAAAACATTATGTCAATTCATTTTTTATGATATTTATTCATTAATCTTGAACTCAGCCAACTTTTTATTCCAACTAGACAAAATCAAAGAAGAATATCCAGCCATTTTTTTTTCTTTTTTAAAGTGTGGATTAAAGGATAAGATAAGAGTGAAAAAAAGAGGCAAAAATGTTTTTTTTCTTTCGGGGGTATAATACAGAGATATGTATTATCTTCTAAATCTAAAATTGACCAAAGAAAGTGTGAGATTCCACATATGAAGTTAATTAGTTTGAAAATCTTTATAACATATGCTTTTTAAAATGGTAAGACAGACGGAGATACTAACGAATCAAAGCGGACAATATATTTATAAAAAAAATTTGGATGCCCTTCTTATATTATGCTTTTTTTTTTTTTTTCTAAAAAGATAATACTTTGTGGACTTAGCCGTGTTTTACTTTTTGGCCTTGTACACTTTTTTATTATTATTGGGAGTTTCCTTAAAATCAAAATTATAAATAATTAAAATGTGATTTAAAAAATTAAAGAATTTGGTTTGGATGGGTCAACTCAACTATGTAGTTGGTTAACGTGGAGGCATATGTGAGGAATAAGCGGTCAACTAAAACGCGATGGTGACAGGTGGCGAGAGGTGAGTGGGTGGGGGGTTACAATATGCAGAAATGAAATGGGGACAAGGGGATGAATGGGCTTCCATTTCATTGCCATTTCCACGCGGTACATTCAACCAAACACAACGGGGTCCAATTTCAACCATTTCCATCCCCCCTGGAAATTTCCTCTTTTTTATTTATTTATTTATTTTTATTTTTTTAATTTATTTGGGTTTTGAATTCCCCCGTTCGCTGGGATTCTGGATAAGCTTCACAACTCCTTCCACAATTTGCATTTTTTTCTTAAATTATTATTCTTTTAATATTTATTATATAAAAAAGAAAACCATTCCAAACACGACTTTGTGTCGTTCAAATTTATACTGCCACCTATAAATATCCATCTTCTTCCTCCATTCCTTCTCCATAATCAAATTCTTCAGCAACTTCCACAATAGCGAAAATTCAGTTCAAATTTGTAGTAACCGTTCTTTCTTTCTTTCCTTCTCGTGTCAGAGATGGTCGATTTGGGTTGGAAGGCCAACATGGTTTCCTCTGACAAGACCACCACTAAATCCCCAAAGCTCATCCCCACCGCCAATCTCAGTCTATCTCTTCCTCTTTCATTTCGTTCTTCAGACATCTCCACTGCCTCGCCTTCCTCTTGTTCTTCGTACGACCACTACCTTCGCCTCAACGATCTCAGGAAGCTGTGGAGTTCTAAGGAGTTTCCGGAATGGACAAGTGAGTCGGTTTTGAAGCCGGGATTGCAAGCTTTGGAGATTACTTTCCGCTTCATTTCGATCGTCTTGTCCGATCCCCGGCCGTATGTTAACCGCTGGGAGTGGAAGAGGAAGCTTGAGTCTCTCACCACGAGTCAGATCCAACTCATTGCTATGATTTTTGAAGACGATGAAGAGGACGACGAAGCGCGCGGCAGAGTTCCGATCGTTGATCTCAGTTCATCCAACGGCGTCATAACTCGCGAGGGAAGCTCGGCGGAGGTCTGGAAGATTCGCGGAGAAGCTACCGTTGTAAGCAGAACAAGTGAATTGAGTCTTCTTCCTCGACTTGCGTCGTGGCAGAGCTCTGAAGACATCGCGCAGATGATTCAGTACACCGTTGAGTGCGAGATGAGGAGATGTCCGTACACGCTAGGGTTAGGGGAGCCAAATTTGGCCGGCAAGCCGAATATCGACTACGACCAAATTTGCAGGCCAAACGAGCTTCATTCTCTGAGAAAGAGTCCGTACGATCAAATTGAAAATTACGAGAATCAAACGGTCTACACAACGCACCAGATCCTGGAGTCGTGGATTTACGCCGCGCATGAGCTTCTGAAACGAATTGCAGAGAGAATCGAGATGAAGAATTTCGCCAGAGCCGCGAAGGATTGCTATCTGATGGAGCGCATCTGGAAGCTTCTACAGGAGATTGAAGATCTTCACCTTCTGATGGATCCGGATGATTTCCTAAAGCTGAAGAATCAATTAGCAATCAAATCGCTGCAGGAATCGGAGGCATTTTGCTTCAGATCGACGACGCTGGTGGAGATTACGAAACAGTGCAAGGATCTGAAGCACAAGGTGCCGTTCATCTTGGATGTGGAGGTGGATCCAATGGGCGGACCAAGGATTCAAGAGGCGGCAATGAGATTGTACAGCGAGAAGCGAGAGATCGAGAAGATTCATCTGCTTCAAGCCCTGCAATCGATCGAATCGGCGATAAAGAAGTTTTTCTTCGCCTACAAGCAAGTTCTGGTAATGGTGATGGGAAGCTTAGAGGCGAAGGGGAACCGAGTCGTGGTGAGTTCAAACTCGGACGATTCACTGAGTCAAATATTTCTGGAATCCACTTATTTCCCGAGTTTGGATGCTGCCAAGACGTTTCTCGGCGATATGCACAGTGTTTTCGGGTCGGATAGGAGGACCCGGATGAAGCTTTAGGACTGATTCTGACTCGGGTTGACCGAGTTACAACAAAGATTGACTTTGGTTCTAAATTGATTATACAAAATAGGTCGGGATGAAAATACAGCAAATTTAATTAATTATTTTTTATTAAAAGAATGTAAAATCTTGCATCTTGTATAATGACAGGTTTAAAGTTTTGCCCCAATTTATTGATTAAACACTTGTTTGGATGAAGCCATATATTTACTCAAATGTTGAATTATAAAAAGATTTAGTTCTTCAATTCTAAAATTATAAAAGAAATCATAATCTTTAAATATAGATTTACATCGGTAAAGCAATTGAGTGTTTTTTTTTTTTTTTTTTTTTTAAGTC